CCATGCACAAGACTTCACCTTTTATGGGTTTTCTATTTTATTTGCTATTATTGTTACTCACTTTATTATACATCTAAATATTATGGGCGAATAAATTATTATTATTCGAACTCTAGAACAGCTTTTTGTTGAAACCGGAGTTCATTAACAGTATTTTCCACGCCTGTTGCAGAATGATCCGTTTCAGTTGTTTAAAAAAAGGTGAAAATTTGAGGTCAGGTCAAAGGTTATCAGTATTTCATTTCACTATTTTCTAGTCTAATGGTAATGAACTATTTCTCGTTAAGGGTTCCAAGCATCACCAGTTAGTGCCAACAAACCAACACTAACCAGGCCAGTAGCTGCTTCATCTTTCAATGGAAATAAACCAGTAGCCAACAATAACAACTATAAGAATTTCGACAAATACGGCATCATCAGGAAAATCGAACAAGTATTAGAAGACGGTTATCATTACATGTAAGTTCAACCATATCAGAGAACTCCCATGAGAAGTATGATTTTTCCCAATTCACATTTTTTCAAGTGATTGTCATTTATCACAAATCACAAAAAGAAATAACTAAAATGATACATACAGTTGAATAAACATACAGTGAAAAATGAATATATGATGAATGGATTATGGAAAAGGGATTCGAATATGTGAATAAACTACTTAATATATAAAATTAAAAACACACAAGATAATATAAATGTCTGTTGAAAAAATTTGTCAAATTTTCATGTTTTCCAAAAAACAGTTATTTATTTCTTCAAAATAGTGCTAGCTTTCTTTTCAATCCTCGAGACAGTTCATGGATCTCTTCAAACTTAGAAACAGAAAAATGTCGCAGGTGGCCAAATCTTGTGAATACGCTGGCTGAGGCATGATAATGGTGTTGTTTTTGGCCGAAAAATCACGAACAAACAATGACAAGCAATGTTGCACCCCGTAAAACTTCCCAAACTTTTCTATGCGTTATAATCAAATTATTGAAAGGATTATATTTTTAGGAGTGATTAATTTTTGGGAAAGTAAAACTGTCTTTCCCAAAAATTCTATTATTATTGTGTCACCATTGGTTTATTATATCATTTTTGGTTTTTTCAACCTTGTAGCATTTTTTCGAAAAATCAGTTTTTATCGAGATGTAGATTTTTTTTATTATCATTTAAAAATTCATTAGGTAATTGTTCAACACTCGAAGTTCCTATGGATAAATAACGAATAGTTGAAGACAAGAGAATTAAAACTCTCTATGATTTTTACCACTTTTATTTGTAACTAACGTGTGTCCTATAACGAAATTTTCAAACTCATACAATAAACCACATACATACATACTTACAGTAAAAAATAATAGCAGGGTTTTTATGTATATTTGAAACTTGTAAAAATTAGTTTCCTCCTCTTTAAGAATCTTTTTTTAAATTTAAGTTATCTTTAAAATTTTTCGAGATATTTGCAAAAAACCAAACCCCTTTTTTTACTTTTCAGAAGTTCCAAAAATAAGATCTTGTGACCCATAGTAACAGAGCAAAATATAAAATGGCAGATAATTAGATAAATAATGATTTTCAGATACGAAACTGAAAATGGAATATTAGCAGAAGAAGAAGGTCATTTGGCCAACAAAGGACAGGAAAATGAATACATGGACGTCAAAGGATTCTATAAATATATTGGAAAGGACAACGTTGAGTATAAGGTTGAGTACACTGTAGATGCATTGAACGGTTTCGTACCTAAGGGAGATCATCTTCCCCAAATTCCTCAAGCAACTGCATGAGTTAAAACCAACGTCAATCTACTGATCAAGTTGAGTTGACTACAAGTACAAATCCCATATTGCAAGATGAGTGAATATAACGACATATACTTCATTAATCATTCAAATAAATTAAAAAACATATTTTAGTTTCATTTTCCACAAACATGATCTTGATATGATCCAATAAACGTGTTTAAAAAAAAATACCTATATTGGTGAATCAATTTCTTAACCGACATTAAGATATTACATAAATTGTAAATAACACTTTTGTAAAATACTATCTCAAACCGCTAATAACCTTGAAGGTTGATGCGGGTAATTTGTGAATAAAATAAAATCCATTCAACAATATAGAGCAAAATATAAAATGAGGCCGATAACCAGAAACACGTGTCCATGGTTTCCCGCTTTTTTGGAGTGTTGTGTCCACAAATCGTTTTATTTTAGTTGAATTGAAAAGGATAATTAAATTTCTCGTATTCTTGGTACACCAATGGGAGCTACTATTTATCCTATTATAGCTCAATACGTAACGAACGATCTTTTTGAAAACATACTTCCTAAAGTGAGTTTTTAAATTCCTTGACGTTGACGATGCCATTTGTGCAATACCTTATGACAAATCTCACGAAATTCTTAATGTTGTCAAAATATGTGATGAAAATTGCAATTCACTATCGAAATAGAAAATAATCAGACCCTTCCTTTTCTTGATATAAGAGTTATGATAGAAGAGTAAAACTGATGATTCCTTGATTACTGATTGGTATGTCAAACCTACTAATTCAGGAAGATATATTAATTACTATTNTTGAAAGAAGTCTTCAACATCAAAATGACAACTTTTTGACATTGAATATGTGAAGTTACTAGAATAGTAACAAAGAATACTAACGATAAAAAACTTTTTTGAAAATCGTATAATTTAAATATCGGTACTACAAATGCTTCCCGTTTTCTCAGTTACTTTCTTCCTCCGGCTAGGGATGCGATGGCGGCAGTGGATATCGGTCTCGCTTGAGCCGCATAAGCTGTTCCTACACCCTTCTTGTTCCCGATTTCAACTTTCGGCCAATATCCATTTTCTCCGGAAGTAAATTTGACCGAAATAGACGATCCATCTGGTGAAGTATAAGAATAGTCACCATTAACATTCAATATAAAATCTCCTCCGCTGGATGTCAGTTGCCCAGTTTCGCTTCTTTCAATTCCATCACTCGTGAGAAATCTAGAAAATGTGTTCAAGGTTAGCGATGAATTTTTGAAAAATAATGCCTTTAATGTTTGAACAACTATAAGGTCTTCCAATAGGGACATTTAGCCAAAAATGTCATTAGGTGTAACAAATTAAAAGTCAAATTTAGAAACATCAAAGTCATAGCCTATGACGATAAGAATCAATTTTTTTCAATGTGTCCTAAAATGATAAATCATGATACATCATCGAGAAGGTAAAATCTGGTTCTATTTAAAACAGAAAGAATCCAATATAGCTCCCACAAGAAAAAATGAAGTTGATGATAGTGGCCGGAAAACGAAACGTCTGATGGCAAATCTGAAAACACCATCATGTAACAGTGAAACAGTGGCAATGCGGAAGTGCAATTCGTTTTCGAATCCTTCGAAAAATGAAGCCAGAAAAAAATAAAAACCATTTTCCGAAATTTCTGATTTTTCAGGATATCTCTGGATTTACTCGGAATTTGAGAATTTCTCAACGGCATATTGTTAGTCAGGTAAATGCACAACTTAGCCCCAATCTTCGTATCTCTCATAGTTTCCGAGATCCCAAAGATGAGGATCGAATTTGAAACACCCTGTATAACTCAAACAAATATAGAGGAAGTGAATGCAAACTCGTAATTGTTTGTGAAGAAATGAATCAAATATTATATTTTCAAACCGAAATTGAACGTTGCGTTGTACTAAAATTAGTTAAATCGTATATTGATGTTTCTCTTTAAGATGAATAAATTATACGTACCCAAATTCGTATCCATTTTCAGTAATTTTATTATGGTAGTTCAGAATGGTGGAATCACTGTTAGGTCTTGACTCCACATGGAAAAATAAAAAACAACATAGAAGATGAGTTTTCATTTCAAAGATTGTTTGCGACTGATGACTTGTAGGCTTTCTTCTATAAATACTCTTCACGATTTCTCAAAGGTTAAATGAATTATGCCAAATATGAAAAAATACGAAGATGCGCTTCTCCTATATTACATAATCACAAAGAAATGATACCTATGGAAATGATTACGAAATTAATTGTATTGTTGAAAACATGGGTATTTCAAGACGGCGTACGAGGTATGTTGAAAAATTAATATACAGGGGTTCGCAAAAGTCCGGAATAAAATTAATATCTTTTTAACCAGTATTTTAGGAAAAAAACGCTGAACCACGTCAGTTGATTTTACGTGGTACGCATTTTTGGCAATGAAATGAAATTTTTTTTCAACCCCTTAGCTGCAACCCCCCTCCCCAACTTTTCAAATGCAAACCTATGTCGCGTATGGGCTCATTGAAAAGCTCGTAAAAATGGATTCTGACCATACCATTATTTTGTGAGAAAAAACTTTTTTGAGTTACAAATACCTAACTTAGTGCTATCTACGGGTGAATTAACGTAACAGATGCTGAAATTTCTATCCCCACATCTCAACAATATCAATACTTCGATACACTGCCTCTCTGACAATACCATTTTTGTTTAGCAAATTAAAAAAGAACACATTGAAGGGACCCAATTAATAAACTAAACATGCATAGTACAATTTCAATTTCACCCAGAAATGACACAAATTTAAAACTGAGTCAACAAAATAGTTCTTATCAGGGCATTCATTTTGGTACAAAAAATGCAACAACCTTTTTCTCTTTTTGAGTTACACTGATCAGCAGTTCCTTGGGATGGAACTAATTTCATGTGTAAGTTTTTGGTGAAAAAATAAAATCCACAGATTGTTGATGCTACATTACGTTATCAGTTTTACATATAAATTAATAAAATTTGTTGTAGTGCCTGGCCTGGTTGGTCTCTTCTTAAAATTTGTAAACTTTTAGGAAGTAGGTACTGGTGATCCTTAGCAATTGTTGAGCAATGTACATCATCACCACTTATTTGTTTTTTGCAACATTAATTCACCCGTAGATAGCACTAAGTAGGTATTTCTAACTTTTTTGGTTTTAAAAGTTTTTTCCCATTTCGTGGTAACCGCATGAGTAAAAAAAAAATAATGGGTATGGTCAGAGTCCATTTTTACGAGCTTCTCAATGAGCCTATACACGACATAGGTTTGCATTTGAAAAAAAAAGTTGGGGAGGGTTGCAGCTAAGGGGTTGAAAAAAAAATATTTAATTTTATTGCCAAAAAATGCGTACAACGTGAAATCAACTGAAGTGTTTTAGCGTTTATTTCCTAAAATACTGGTTAAAAAGATATTAATTTTATTCCGGCCTTTTGCGCACCCCTGTATAATACACTTGTGTCAGCGTTTTCACCAATCTTCGAATCAGTTCGAATATGCATTTTTTTATTTTTCCCTGGGTCCTCTCAGTGATTCGGATTTTATTACCTCAATAGTCGCAAAACCACGTCCCTTCATAGGCCTTTCCAATCATAGTAATAGAAAAAAGTCACAGAGGGCTAAATCTGATGAATATGGAGGCATGATTGGGGTGTTGTTTTTTGTCAAAACGCCGTCCTTTCAAAGGTCTTTCTAATCTTAGGGATAGGAAAAAGTTACAGAGGAGTAGATCTAGTAAATATGGAGGCATGATTAAGGTATTATTCTCGGCCAAAAAATTACGAGCAAGTAATGACGAGTGAGCAGGTGCATTATCGTGATGAAAAAGCTAGCAAGCGGTGGATAACTTCAAAATAATACTTCTTATCGACCGTACCACCATGTGGCTCTTCCACTGGGACGATTGGACTTTGGTCATGATTATATACCCATGATTCGTCACCAGTTATGACTTTTTTGAGAAAATCTGGATTGCCATTGAGTTCATTCAACAGTTCCTGAATGATGCTCATGCGATGGTTGATTTGATCATAATTCAGAGTTTTGAGCCAAGCTGGGTCGAGTCGAATCAAGCTGAGGTGAGCCGAGTCGAGTCAAGGAGAGTGGAATAGAATAGAGTATAGTAGAGTCGAGCCAAGGGGACAAAACTAAACTAGACTAGTCCAACTGAGTCGAAACGAGTCAAGCCGATCGAAGCCGAGTCAAGCCGATGTGGGCCGAGTCGAACCAAGCCGTATCCAGTCGAGCCCAGTTGAGTCGAGCCGGGTCAAAGAGACAAGGAGAGGACAAGAGTAGACTGGACTAGTCCCGAGCCAAGTCCAAATTTCATTTCTTTTCTTTTTTCAGCTTATCACTGTATGATGACGTTGAGCCACTTTAGACTAATTTTTGTCTACGAACACAAATTTAAGCAAAGGGCTACAGAAACAGCCCGAAAAATTAACCAGGCATTTGGCAATGATAGTGTTGATGAATACACTGTTCGATGACGGTTTGTGAAATTTCATTCCGGAAATTTCAGCTTCAAAGATTAACCACGAAGTGGTCAACTTAGAGTTACCATGACGAAAATTTGACGACCTTGGAGAAGAATGAGACATCACACAAGGTGCGTAGGATTGCTGAAAATCTGGACGTCAGCTCCCATGCGGTATTTGATAGTTTAGAACGTATTTGAAAGGTCAAAAAGCTTAAAAAGTGGGTGCTCTATCATTTGAACAATCGACAGAAATTATCAACTTTCGAGGTATCTTCGACGCTTTTGCGCCACCTAAACATTCTTTTTTTTTGATCGGATCGTTTGTTACCCACATTTCAATATACAGGACTATTCAAATTCGTTTCTGTATATCAGGATCTCGTAAACGATAAGAGAAAGAGTGTCAGTTAAAGTGTGGCAAAGTTGTGTATTTTAGAGACCTATTCAATGCTGTAAAGAAATCGAATATAGCTCTTTTGGTTCTGGAGACATACAGGAAAAACGAAAAAATCCAAAATTATTTTTTTGCCTATATCTCCTTTATTCGCAGACATATTGAAAATTTTTCCACAATTTGCTATAAGCACTAGATGTGGGCTCTCAGAATATATCCATGAATCTTTTAT